ATCACAATGCTGGGAACTGACTCTGCCATGCTTACTCCTGCAAAGACAACTTCATTTTAAACAAACGTATATTAATATTTCTAAAATCAATATGTCCAGCTAGTCTTCTCGGGTATTTATAGTGCACAAATTACTGAGATTTCTAGAAGTCAAAACCAAGGTATATGCACGAGAGGGACTCAGAAGATCTTGACAAAATGGACTTGTCCTTGACCTATTAGTTTACCTCCATAACTTTCTGTTAATTAAAGTTACATACACCAGGGAATACCACAGGTTTTTGTTCCTTTCTATGGTTTCCGAGTAGCAGCCATGTTAGTCTGCATTTGCAAAAAGAAAAGGAGGACTTGTGGCACCTTAGAGACTAACAAAATTTATTTGAGCATCCCTTCATCCTTGCTCGGGGGTCGCATAACTAGTTATGCGACCCCCGAGCGTTTATGCGACCCCTGAGAGAGGATGAAGGGATGCTCAAATAAATTTGTTAGTCTCTAAGGTGCCACAAGTCCTCCTTTTCTTTTTTGTTCCTTTCTATGTTATTCAGCAAGTTGATAATCAAAAGTAGGCAGTAAATATCAGTAAACTGAAGAAATATCTTAACTGGTTGTTCATCCCTGCTACGCATCTGGCAACTTTATGGTGGGTACAAATTTCTGGAATGGAGAACACTGTTGTTACAAAAAGTGAACAAAAATGCTGAATAGTGTCAATATTTCATTCAAAAGGTGGGAAGGGAATAAGCCAGCCTACACACACAGCATTCTAATGGCCAATAATATACAGACAGATGAGGGCAAAAACATACTTCTAATGCCATCAGTCTAGGATTCCTGGCACCACAATGATCATATCTCCTTCAGCTCTTGAGGCAATATATATGTACTGTATGTAGGCTGTTGCCAGAATACAAGTAAACTTCATAACTGACTGCCACTTATACCATTCACAGGAGCAGTAAGTTAGCTGTTGGCTTACACTCTATGAAGTCCAGTATCAAAGTAAGAAAGCCTAACTACAGCATTTGGTAATCCTAGCATTCCTTATTCTCCTGCTTTCACTGAAAGTAAACAGGTTAAATTTCTCTGATGTAGCTATACTTTTAAATACAGTGTTTAAAGAAAACAAATTTGAAAGAATTACCATGCTTACCATCCTTTTCTTTCCTCCATAAACTGTATATTTACAATATAGCTGAAACTATAGGAGTTAATTCCCTACAGTAGGTTATATTAAATGGCACGTATAAAGCATTTTAAGGCAGCAGAATGTTTTAGGAATATCTCAGGTGATGAAAAAGGCTAATATAATACTAATCATACAGTATTTTAATTCCGAAAAAATATGCCCAGCTATATTGACCCTAGCATCGTAAGGGTTGAAAAACCAAACAAGTATGCCATCAAGCACGTCCGAGGAATCCACTGAGCTTGTCTGCTTCTGATACATATTGTGCAAGCCCTTGTCGCTGCAACTATAGTCAAAAAAGTGTATTCACTATACCTGTGAACCTATATAAAAGATGTACAAAATATAAATGTCATCAGGACTTTATATTTTCAAAAAATTTAAATAAACACAAAGTATATATAGGCATATATGTTGTAATTTCAGTGTCAATACTAGCACAGAGTTTGTCTCTTCTAAATACAGACCTGTATACTTCCTATTCCAGCACATGCACCTACAAACACATGATCATGCATACAGCTTTACTTTCTGCTGTTTGCAGAAAAGTCAGAATATACAGAACTATACATTGTATCAACTCAAAATAGATTGGCAAACCAAGGAGGATGTCATTCAAAAGTAATTATTTGTGAGCCATTTAGGAAAGAAAGAAAGAAAGAAAGAAAGAAAGAAAGAAAATGAGGGGTATAATTATTTCATCAATAAAAACACTGAAGACTGCAATGATGATCTGAGATTGAAAACGCTTTGCCCAGTAAGTCAAGTGACAGGATTACTTTTGGACGGTATACACAGTGTAGAACTGGGTGCTATCACAATCAGAGAACACACAGTTATAAAGAGGCGCAGAGCTTTCACATTTCACAACAGCATCAAATTCATCCTTGAGTTCAGACTACTGTCGTCTCTGACTGAAGTGAGAGAGAATAATTGTGTGCAGTCATTCTCACAGCAGGTGGTGCTGAAGGTGATCTGGATGCCCACCTGGAAGGTAAGCGTCGATTTGCTGGCCGCGCTGGCCGGGAGAAGCCTTTCCCAGTTGAACATTTAGCTGGCACAGATATCTAGAACACAAATGAAACTACTTGCCTTAACAAGTTATAACACAGTCGTTGATGGAATGTAAAAGGAATGAAGTGGCATACCTCAGAACAGGTGGTCTTGGGCTATTAAAAGGACCTGAGGATGTGTTTACATAGCAATGTATAGAATGCAAAGGAACAGACACTTCTATATATAGGAATTCTTACATCAGTTGCAGCATGAGATATGTGGACATGGATGCTAGATACAAGGGAAGATATAAGATTTTAACCCATATGCAAACCATAAATTAATTGCTCTTGCAGGCACCTTTTCATTTTTGGAACTTATGTGGATGAACTTTTATGCTGGTTCATAAACATAACTCAGTATACAACAATACACTGAAACAGGATTCCATGTACCTTTCAGGTATCTTTTGATGGATCCTGTTGTAACTGTCAAGGCTCATTATAAAGGACTGTGTTTCCATTACTGTTACGTGAAGATGTTTGTACTTCATAAATTGTTAATAATGATAATTTATGACTATAGTATCATAGCTGCATGCAGAGCTTCACAAACACATGAAAGACAACAGTCCAGACTCTGTTCTTTGTTTCAGTGGTATAAATACAGAGTAATTACCATAGGTGTGATTCTTCAGTGCATTGTGCCATGTGTGGTTCTTTATACCTTTGCCAAGTGAGTGCAGGTGGGTTTAAAATGCTGCCATTCTGATTAGTTAGCATTTTACACTCACTTTACATAGGCATAAATGATTACACAAGGAGCAAGACAGCGGAGAGTCAGGCCCATTGGCTTTAGTAGAGTTACTCTGGATTTATGCCAGTAAAAATAAAATCAAACTCTGGCTCATTGTTCTTACTCCAAATATTCACTAAGGAAATTTCCTATCACGTTTGCACAGAGCAAAAAAATCAGAAGCTTCTCCTTTTTTCTTTTTTTTTTTTTTTTTGCTGTGGTAGAACAAAGTTGTTTCTACTGAAAACTATAGGGATGCAGGGGGTGTTGTAGCACCCCCAGGTTTTACGCAGGTTTCCAGCTGCCTTCCCCACTCTGGGGTCCCGGCCCAGTGCCCAGGGCTCCACTGCCACCCTCCCCAGGGGCCAGGCTGCCAGCCCTGTGCATGGGGCTCTGCTCCCAGTTGCACTCCCACCCCCAGCTGTGGCCCCAGCCTCAGCCCCTTTACACAGGTCCCCCCTCCCAGAGACACAGGCCTGCTCCCAGCCCCAGCTCTGGGGGGAGAGGGGGCATGGACAGAGGTAAGGGGCTTTCAGCACCCCCACTATTAAAAGTGTTCCAACACCACTGCTGCACACTGGTGAAGCTGACCCAAAAAACCCCAAACCAACAAGAACATCCTTATGTTAGGCTCAGACTTTGGTCAGAAGAAAATCTACAGAATCAAATTCTCAGCTGTTAAAATCAATGTGGCTCCACTGAAGTCAATGGAATTGTGCCAATTTGAATTATACCAGTTGACGATCTGACATACTTTTTTTCCCTATGGGGTTTCACAGCTCCAAGTGAGTCTACCCCATCTCTGTGAGGCGCTAAGGAGGGTATCACAGAATCATAGAAGTTAGTAGGGTCAACAAAGGTCATCTAGTCTAACCCCCCTGTCAGGATGCAGGATTTGTTGTGTCTAAACCATCCAAGACAGATGGCTGTATCCAGCCTCCTTTTGAAAACCACAGTGAAGGAACTTCCACGACCTCCCAAGGCAGTCTGTTCCACTGTCCTACTGTTCTTACCGTTAGGAAGCTTTTCCTGAGCTTTAATCTAAATCTGCTGTGCTGTAGTTTGAAACCATTGCCTCTTGTCCTGCCCTCTGTGGCAAGAGAGAACAACTTTTCTTTACCTTTTTTATGGTAGCTTTTCAAATGTAGCTGAAGACCGCTATCATATCCCCCGTTAATCTCCTCTTTTCCAAACTCAGCATACCCTGTTCCTTCAGCCTTTCCTCATATGGCTTTCACCCCATCCCTTTGATCATCTCTGTCGCTCACCTCTGGATCCTTCCCAGTTTCTCTACATCCTTTCCTTTGTGTGCTTCCAGCCAGTAGTCTGCCTGAGCCAGTAGTGACGTCCACTTCCCAGCAGCCACTGGCAGGACCAGTAACTTCAACTACATTTTTCAAAATACTTGTTTCCTTTTTCTTTTTAGGAGTTTGAGAAAAGGGCAACTTTTCTACACTCTGCCAGTAAAATAAGGCCAAATGTAAAATGCTGTGGCTGGACCAGCCCCTCTCTTTCCCCTGGGTCAGTGTTGGGAGCGATGCACAGTCTGGATTTGAAGAATGTGTGAATGCTGTTACTGGACACGTATAGAAACCCCAGCATGGCACCTTTAGGAGACAAACAACAGCCATCGTTCTGGAGACTGCTCTCTCAGCCCCTGTAGGTTTTGCCATGGGAGGCTGTGTTAAAGTCCTTTGAATGGGTTTTTGAAAACAGTCATGGGAGGGGGGAGCGGGGGAGAGAATGGGCCAGATTCTGATGTTAGCTATAGCAGTGCAAATTTCAAGTAGCTACACTGAGGTTAAACTCTAGATTTACACCAGTGTCACTGAGATCAGAATCTGATCCCACAGGACTCCTATATTATACTGATGTAGCTCCATTACCTTCCATGGAATCACTCCTGATTCACACAGGTGTAAATGAGATAAGGATCACACCCAAAGTATCTAATATTACACAAACAGATATTTTAGACTGTCCCATTTTAGTGGCTTGTTTCTGAAGTTGGGTATAAATCTTACCTCTGGTAACTTCTGTCTCTCTTTGCCTTGTTTGACTTGCTGCCCAACACGCCTGGCTGAATTCCTCTGAAACGCTTGCTTTCCTTGCTCTGTCTGGAGCATTTCTAAATACCCACTCAATGTCTCACAACTCCCATCTGTGAACTCAGAATCTGACTGTGTCCCCTTATCTTTGCAGCATTTAGAATTATATAAAGATGTCACTGTTGATTTTTCATAGTTTTTCAAAAGTTTTTCAACAACTCCATAGTTTGACCTCGAGTCAGCTGAACGTGGGCGACCAGATAAATTAATTGGTCTCCAATCACGCTCGTGAAGCATATGCCGGTAGCCACTGGTGCTTAGAAGTCCATTTATTTGCTTTTGTTGCCCTGTTGTTCTGGCAGCTTTGGTTGGATTGCAGGGATCCTGTTTCTTTGCTGCAGAGAGTCTGGGATTTGAAACATAAGATGCATTTACAGTTTCTGTTCTGTTAATCATCCAGTCACACCCTGGGCCACAGTGTTTATGATCTCCAGTTGGTCTTTGAAGCTTCTGATTTTCTTGCAAAGATTTGTTGCATTTATCTGTATGAAATACAGTCCTGTTAAATTCATCGATCTTTGCTGCCAACGTTTCATTTTTTGGGGTCTTCTTTGGCAGCATTGCAGGGTCACAGGAGTCATTACCATAATGTAAAACATTATGAGATTTAGGGCAATGTCTTCTGTGCAAATTCTCTGTTTGCACCATATTTCCATCTGAACAGCTTTTCTGGGCAGACAACGGGGAAGATCCATTCGGAGTACCTTTTCCAAGCTTGCCCACATCACATGACCATGTGTTGTGACAAAAACCTGCCGCTACACTGCACTCAGAGACTCTCTCTTTTTTGGCTATAGGTACTGAAGCAGTTACCACTGCACCATCTTTCACAGACTTTCCTTCATTTGCATGTGCCACTGGATCTTCACTCTGTTTTGCAAGAGAAGGATTAATACATTTCCTTCCATTCCTATCCTCCTGAACCTTACAGTTGCTTCTGCTGTCTGTATCTTTTACGGGTACTTCAGAGATCTGTACAGCTGCAGAAAGTGAGCTTGTCAGATGTCGAGAAGTGCTCCGTGGAGGAACTGGTGGGGCTTCTTTTTTTGGCCAGGGCATGAAGTCTCTTCCTCTACCACCAGTAAAAGAGCTACAAGGCATATCTTTCAAACCCCTGTTGGCACTCATCAAGTTCTTCCTGTTATTTTGTCCTTCTGTTTCAAAAGTGATGGAAGAAGTTTGTGGTTCATTGCTGGACATGCAGTTCATCTCAGGCATAATAACTGTGTTTTGGGTTTCTTCAAATTCTTCCAGAAAAGGAAGTGACTTCATTCTGTACATAAAAGAAGAGGCGTTTTTAGTGATGAGGATGTTCCTCCTAAGAAGTCATCTGGGGAAAAGGAAGGAAAGGGCTTAACCTGTAGACATGTGACAGAGCATGGGGCACTGTCTGACCCCTAAGGGGAACAAAGGATTAACCCCAGCACAGCTTCCCACAGGCACCCAGAAGAAGGTCTTTAAGACTGGCTGCTGGAAAAGATTTTGGGGCAATTCCACTGCTAAGTATACAGGGAAGAAGTCCCACTCTATGATGGAAGAGTTTGAAGGAACCTCAGCAAAGGAAATCTTGCAGTGTACTCCTCCCCTCCATCCCCCAACCTAGGTCCCCTCTAAGAGGTTTTACTGTAGGAAGGAGGACGGGCCTTCTAATTTGTACTCAATTCAGTGGGAGTTGGCATGAGTATTTGAGTGAGGAGCGCCTCTGCGTGTAGTCATTGGCTTGTGCAAATGTCTTAATATTCAATGTGAGAGCACAAATGTGTCATTTATGGTTCCATGCAATAATCACATTTTCCAGCACACATTCACAAAGTGTACAGCAGTTCCTTCACAGATATTGATGCTAAAGCAATCATACACTGTGGAAAAGACTGTAGGCTGCCCATGCATGGATGTACTGGGGAAAGACTCCAAGGAGCCCCTTTGTACTTCTTGACTCTCTCAGCAAGAGCCTGGCACAATGTGCGTACATACCTACAAGGCGACAGGTGTTAGCTGCCTAGAAAATTACAGGGTGAGGTCAGGTCTATGCTCAGCAGAGTTGGCTGAGAATGGAGAGGGAAACACAATGCTTCCTCTCCAAGAGTGGTGTAGCTGCCGCACAAGTGTGGGCTTCCCAGGAGCCCCAAGGAGGAATTCTGGCAGAATCAGCCAGAAAACCTTCTGGGCACTTGGCTGCCATGTGGCCTCACCGAACCCCTGCCAGACAGCCTGTCACACCAAGGGCACAATCTAGCCCTCTGTGCACTTTATGTACATCCGTGTGTAAGGAGCAGTGTCTAGCGGTATTTCCTCATGAGGAATCCAAGGGCATTATGTTTGCAGTGGACGGGGTGCTGGTGGAGGGGAAAAATGATTTGCTACTGTTCCTTTCAGCATGCAGCTTACTTCTCCCTGATGTGGCCAGCCATCTCCCCTATGTGTGTGTGTGTGTGTGCAAAGTGGGAGGGAGGGGAGAGAAGTCACTCCCTGCCCCCTTGCTCCTTGTAGGGAGTATCTGGTGAAAATCCCCTGCAGTCTCTCCAGCATCCAGTGCTGACATCTAGGTAACCCTAACATGACACAGAGGGGGGACAAAAAGAAAAGGAGTACTTGTGGCACCTTAGAGACTAACCAATTTATTTAAGCATAAGCTTTCGTGAGCTACAGCTCACTTCATCGGATGCATACTGTGGAAACTGCAGAAGACATTATATACACAGAGACCATGAAACAATACCTCCTCCCACCCCACTCTCCTGCTGGTAATAGCTTATCTAAAGTGATCACTCTCCTTACAATGTGTATGATAATCAAGGTGGGCCATTTCCAGCACAAATCCAGGTTTTCTCACCCTCCACCCCCCCACACACAAACTCACTCTCCTGCTGGTAATAGCCCATCCAAAGTGACCACTCTCTTTACAATGTGTATGATAATCAAGGTGGGCCATTTCTAGCACAAATCCAGGTTTTCTCACCCCCCCTCCCGTTTTTTTTCCAAAAACCATACACACAAACTCACTCTCCTGCTGGTAATAGCTTATCCAAAGTGACCACTCTCCTTACAATGTGTATGAAAATCAAGAGGGGGGACAGAAATCTTTCATCCTGTCTACTCCACTACTGTGCTAGGGCGAGGCACAATCTAGCCCTACGTAAATGCAGATATCAGTTTATATATTTTGGAAGCACACTGCATTTTTTGCAATTAAAACATGAGTTTGAAACATATTTTGGTTTTCACTGGGATTCCTTACGCTGAGCACTAACACACTGAGCCCTATCCAGCTCCTGACCAATTCAATTGCAAATTTCCCTTAACTTGAATAGCCTCAGGAATAGGCCCACTGTTGCCTTTCTTCCCCTAACATAAATAGGCCAAATGTGTTTTTACCTTCTGTGGTTGGGCTTCTTTCGAATTTCCTCTTGATAGCTGCATAACTCTTCACTAACTTTTGCCAGTTCTTTAAGAGCCTTTACAAATAAAATAATGTTACCTTAGCATGAACAGTAATCTCCAGAATTGTTTTATACCCAATGATGATTTACATGGGAGAGTCCTGTGCAGAAGGGAGTAGCACAGAAATGTCTCCAAGTTATGGACCAAGGTAAATAGCATGCCACTAGTGTATTTAACAAAAGTTTATATATTCAACAGTCACAAACTGAGGGGGAAGGGGAAACATTCCCTGGCTGGGAAGTTGTTGCATTCTAAGACTCAGAGGACATATACTTTGGGTAGAGAGAGAAGGATTTCATCATGTTCCCCACATTTGCTGAAACACTGTTACTGTCATACTTACTGCATTGAGATCACCAGCATAACTACTGGTATCTTTCTTAGGAATTTTCAAGCTGAGGAGGTCTTCATATTTCTCCTGGTTGTCAAAGGCCAGACTGTTCCTTAACAAAACATTGTTTTTCCCCTGAGTTCTAGTTTCTTTACATTCTTGTTCTGTTTTACTGAGCAAACTCTTTTCTTCCATCCGGTCACTTGCCAAGTTATGTCGACAGTTCAGTTCTGCTGTGTCACTCCCTTCTGAAGTAGGGGAATATACAGATAGCTGCAGCATCTTGCTTTGAATGGCCTTATTATCCCGGACATTCATATTGCTCTCCCGCCTTAGTTTTACCTCCTGGTAAAGCTGAAAAGGCAATAAAACACCCTATTTAATATAAGTAGAGTTATGAGCTTCTAGGATAAAGGACCATATTTATTGTCTGCTTTAAACTGTGTTACAAAGCTCCTAAGCATTTTCATTCAGTAAAATCACATATGGGCTGAAAGATTTGATATGTATTTTTAGCTAAGAGATGCTGAGTCCTTAGTGGAATGGCCAATGGACCATTCTGTTATCACAAGGTGTGGAGAAGATTTGTTACAATTCCCAAAATCTTTGCTATATTTTAATCGATGGCTTAGAGCTATGGAATGGGTTCCAGAAGATCTCACATGTTAAGTACCTCTGAGCTTGGTCAGTAATTAGGTGGTAGACTGCCAGAAACACCAAGGTGCTCCAGCAAATTTTGCTGGTCCATAAATAAGTGAAACATCCTCTATGAATCAATACTGAATCAAAATTCCAGGATGGTGTTGGATGGTAATGTGCTGGTGTCTTTTTGATCAGGTCCTGACCATGAATAGGCATTTAAGATCCTCTGACTCCACTAGTAAAAGTAAAGGCATTGTCAGCTCAGGTATGCTGGCATATTCTAATTTGGGGAATTATAATACAAAGGTTTCCATTTACAGTCCCTTGCATGCAAAGATCCCAAAGCTCCTTATCAACATTAATTAATTCTCACAACATCGATGTGAGGTAGACAAGGGATGTAGCCATTTCTGAGCTGAAACACACCTGCTCTTTAACAGTGCACAGCACAGTCTGTAACACAATTTTGGACAGGCAGAAAAGAAAAATAGTGCATCTGCTTGAAACTGCATAGCAAATACGGGTAGGTAGAATGCAATGACTAGAGTTGGGAATTTGGCTAGGACACGGAGGTTTACATATTCCTGTTTTTATTTGAAACTGTTAATGACCACGAGCGATCATTACATCTCACTCAAAAGCTATCAGACCTGATTCTCCCACTAAAGCTGTTTTACACTGCTCTGGCAGCATAAAGGGGCATTACAGTGTGTGTAAATTACAATTACATTCACTTTAAAGTCCCTTTCCACTGCAAGAGCTGGGTCAAAGGGCCTCAGTGTAATTGAGAATTAGGCCCATCATCTCCAACACCATAGAGCCAACTAACAAACTAGCAGATGATTATTAATTGTAATAATACTCATTTATTATTTATATTACAGTAGCATATAAAGGCCCCAATCAGGTTGGGGCTCCATTGATCTAGATGCTGTAAATGATCGAAAGCAAACCTGATTCCTGCCCCAAACAGCATAAATATACATATAGGGCTCACGTTACTAAGCACTGAAATGTAGTTTGCCACTTCTGTGGCAAAACAAGGCAACTAGTTAACAAATCACAGCAACATCACCACATTTAAGGCAAGAAGTGGAGAAGAATATCATATTCAAATCCAATAGAAATTACAGCTGAAACATAGGAGGCAGACATCACGGAGTTACACTGTAGCCTGAGAGCAGCCTATGTCTGAGTCATTTGGCTCCATTTTCCTTTTCCATTTTATTATTTTCCTTTCATGTGAACAATCTCTTCCTTACATTCCTAGTGGTTGCAGAAAGCAAGCAAGAATATTTTCATGTGTATATTAGAATAAATTTGTGCATTAGTGAGTGGCAGAGGATTTTATTCAGATGACAACTTTGGTGTAAAAGAATAATAAATAAATTACTTACGCTATCCTTGAAAGGAAGTGAATTAGGATTGATAGAAAGTAAATGATCGCTAACAGGTGTAAATATTCTTTGTGTCTAGCCTTTGTTTACTGTAATCCTTTTTTCTAATAAAGGTCGTCAATAAATACAGTAGGTCTTTGCAGGAATAACTCTCATTTCCTGAGCCACTCATTCTTTGATTCATGGAATTCCCTTTGATGTTAACGAATAAAGTAGTACATAATTTATCCCAGACAGAGAGATATATTTTATAATGCCTGTATTAGAATTTTGTTGATAAATATGCATTCACCTAAGCCAGTGGTTCTCAACAAGGGGTATGCATACCCATGGGGGCACGCAGAGGTCTTCCAGAGGTATATCCATTCATCTAGATATTTGCCTAGTTTTACAACAGACTACATAAAAAGCACTAGCAAAGTCAGTACAAACTCAAATGTCATACAATGACTTGTTTATACTATTCTATACACTAAAATGTAAGTACAATATTTATATTCCAATTGATTTATTTTTAATTATATGATAAAATGAGAAAGTAAGCAATTTTTCAGTAACAGTGTGCTGTGACAATTTTTTGTATTTTTTGTCTGATTTTGTAAGCAAGTTGTTTTTAAGTGAGGTGCAACTTGGGGTACACAAGACAAATCAGACTCCTGAAAGGGATACAGTAGTCTGGAAAGGTTGAGTGCCAAAGACCTAAGCCCCATACAGACATGTCTGCTACTTTTTAAAATGTATGTACGATGCACACTGTGCCCAGAATCTCTGGCTATGGTATATACTGCCAGCAATACCGCAGCAAATTTGACCTAAGACCAATGCTTCAAAGTGACATCTCAAGTTCTTACTCTTTATCCATGGTTATAAAATTAACAATATCTCAAACAGTCCCACAGCTCAGACCTTGCATCCTGCCATCAACCATTAAACAGTGGCAGACACTGAACTGGAAAACGGTTCAGGGAGAAAAACCATGAGGTGGCCTTGGGCTATCATATAAGACTTTAGAAAAATGTTCATTTTTACAGTGTTGTTTACACTCAAAAATCCAAAGTACCTCTTCTATTTTCTTCTGCATGACCTTCCACTGACTTTCCCACTCCTTCCTTTCACTGTCAAATCTCTCCAGCAGTTCCATCTTCTCTTTAGTCCAGTTCTTTTCAGTATTCTCCAGTTGTTTATGTAGGTCCATTGCTGCACTATGAGTATCAACTAAAAGGTGTTTATGCTCCTCTTCTTTCCTCAATGTTTCCAGGAAGCTGGGATTGATTTTATCAGAATAAGTCTTTCTTGTCTTTGATTCTAGCTTCAAGCAAAAAGAAAAAAAAATGTAACAGACAGCCCATTCCATTAATTTCAATTGTATCAAAGATTGCTTGCATGAGTCTATATCAGGATTATAATGATAAACATATACACTACAGTAGAAGTATGGATGAACTGGAATACACAGCAGGAAAAGGAGTTCCAATCCCTTCTCCCCCACAAAAAGTGATATCAGATAACAAATTTAGTCTATCATTCTACATGCTGTACCTAAATAGCATACACATAAGCAACAGTCCTACAAATGGGTAATATTTAAACTTGCTCTCCTTTAGATGAAGCAGAAGTGCTATGACAGCACTTGATCCTGCAATATACAGAGAGCCTCTTTCAAGATGCTGAGCACCCTCAATTCCCGTGGTCGTGAATTCAAGGCCTTGGAACCTTCCAAGATCTGTCTTTTAGTCAGAATGGCCAAGAATGCTGTCTCTGTGCTATATTTGAACTGTTCACAACAAAACTAGAAATCTAAAGATAGGAAGTTTGCTCAGAACAATTGAGATTTTACACTGGCACATTTAAAAACATTAGTGTTATATGTATACTTTTAATTACACAAAAGAAAACATGCAGTTATGGGGGGGGGACCATAAATCTTTTATGAACAGACATACACATCAGAACACAATACAAAAGCTTAATGTATTTTGGTTTTACACGTCTTAATAAATAAATATATTAGTCCCATGGCATGGGCTTGGAAGACAGCAGAAAGACTCTATCCCCAACTCTGACTGATTGTGAGACCTTGCATAAATCATTAAACCTCTCTGCACCTCAATTTCCTCTTCTCTCAAAATACAAATCATGATCCCCACCACCCTCTGTAAAAATCTCTGAGTTCTATGGATGGACAAGTGCTAAGTAGCATTGTTATATTATATGTTTCAGAGTAACAGCTGTGTTAGTCTGTATTCGCAAAAAGAAAAGGAGTACTTGTGGCACCTTAGAGACTAACCAATTTATTTGAGCATAAGCTTTCGTGACCTACAGCTCACTTTATCGCATCCGATGAAGTGAGCTGTAGCTCATGAAAGCTTATGCTCAAATAAATTGGTTAGTCTCTAAGGTGCCACAAGTACTCCTTTTCTTATTGTTATATTATGATACACTTGTAGAGGGAAACCTTTTACTGAATGGTGATAGATTTTATAGACCCGATTCTCACTCACTCAATTTTTACATCAGTGACTCATTAAAAATCAGTAGATTTGCTGCTGATTTACACCAGCATGAGGTTAGAATCACACCCATTAATTCATTCTTGGGAGCAACAGTTTGGTAGCCTGACATGGGATGATGTACTGTATGCACAGTTGTGTGTATTCCCTGAATTTGGGTTTCAAATCAGACTACTGTGTTAATCTGGTGAACACAGATATTCATATCCATTCACAATAAACTTGCAGATTGCATTGGTTCATGCTCAGAGGCTATATCAATGTTATTTGTCTGGTCTCAAAAACGACTCCCTTTATTGGACATGTTTGTGATTAGTAGTTTGTATCTAATTTTGTAATTCCTTTTGTGCTTCATGCAAAGCTATGCTCAGCCCTTTACTGGGCAAAGCAGATTGATTCAGCTGTGGCTGCTACATGATCACAGCTTCCCACTGTCTGTTTTTTTCCAGCCAGCTGACAAGCTGACATCTAATTCAGACTCAGCTTCTTTCATTAACAAGTGAGCTGTGAGCTCAGCTGAGGACCAACAGGTTACTTGCAACAGTGTGTTAGATGAAGTCCTGATACCATACATCTCAACTGACAGCATTTAAGGCCTGATTCTACTGCCACCACAGCCAATAGCAGTCATGCCTCTGACTTCAGTACAAGTTGGACTGGGGCCTCAGAGGGCGGGACCTCCCTTCATTGAGCCTCCCTGTCGCTCCCTTTCAAGATCACAGTAATACCATAGAGTTATTTAGCTGTGCAATGCAGCGTTTGAACTCAGCTCTTTCAAGCTCCCACTCAGCCCTGTCATTGGAACACTGAGACTACCAAAAGCTTCTTCTTTTCTCTTCCATCTTTAGCTCTGCCTGAACCATAGGTGCCAACTCCCTGAGTGCTCTGGGGCTGGAGCACTCACAGAAAAAAAATTGTGGGAGCTCAGCACCCATCAGCCACAGTTGTTCGGGGGCACCGCTGATCAGCTATTTGGTGCCCTCCCCCATCAGCTAATTGGGGTGCTGACAAACAGCTGTTTGGTGGCTCAGGGAGGGTTTGGGGGAGAGCAGAGAGCAGTGAGCAGTGGGTGGGTAGGGGTCTCAGGGAGTGGGCAGAGCACAGGAAGAGGTGGAGAGAGGGCAAGGCCTCAAGGGGGTGGTGTGAGGGCAGGAAGAGGTGGAACAAGGGAGGGGTCTTTTGGGAGGGGCTGGAGTGGGGGCAGGGCCTCAGGGCAGAGTGGGGATAGAGCACCCCTGGGAAAACTAAAAGTCAGCACCTATGACTTGAACCACTTCCAAAACAGACTTCAGATCCAGCAAAACACTTCTGTTTTTATCTACCTGGAAACATTCAGGGTAGCTTTACAAATAAAGATCTTTGACACTAACAGAGCTGCTCCAAGACAACTCAGCATTCTTAATATGAAATAAGTCCACTATTAGTTTGTTGTTTAAGACAGGCTCACGGCTTCATGTTGAAGCCAGCCAGTCTATGGAGCTGGCCCCTCTCCAGGGCCAAGGTTCAAGCTCAGTACCAGGGACTGCCTTAAATGTTGATGAAAAACAACTTCTTATATAAGAATTCCATGCACTGAAAATCTGTTGCAATCGAAACATCTATTCATGGAACATCTACAGCCATATCAATATTTTTTTCACTTCACTACTACAAAGGTTGTATTTTTATGGGGGGAGGAAGGTACAGCAGTAATTCACTCTTTTGCTATACTTACTCTTTTAATCGACTTTTTTTAACTTATTCAAGAAACTTCAGAAGAATTAACCAAATTGATCTATTTACTCACTTGACTTCTCTGGACTGATTCAAATGCATGTGGCAAAGAACAGTATGAAGACATAAACTAGAGACAGGCTGAGATACGTTTTGCCTACCATTTGCACAAGCCTTTGTCAATGCAACATTAGGAATAACAACTGTGATTCAATCAGAAGCAAATGGTAAATCTTACTGGAACCAATCTGAAAGCCTACATTGCAGCTTAATATTTCCTGAATGTGCTCCTGTCATGCACACATTTGGAAAGCAGGTTAGCATGTCAAAAGACTCTTGATGTTCTTTTAGAGTGATTACTTATCAGGTATTACTCCCTTGCTTACATCCATCTTCAAAATGTGCATATGCCTCATACAAGATTCCATTTTGAAAAATAGAATGGAGACCCTCAACATGCAATCAAGTCCTGGAAAAAGTTAGTTGCAGCTATTTACTTGTAACTGTATCTTCCCTCAAAAGTGCTTCTCTCTTTCATCCATGGTTTCTTTTCCTGTTCATATCATGACTTATTCCCTTCAAATTTCCTCTTAAGATGCAACTACTCATAGTGAAGCTCATGATTGTTGATGTTCGCTCAGATGGCTGGGTGACCATATGCTACGACTGCTGTTGCTATGGTGGGTAAATTCCTTAGAGGACTTTGACTCCTGTCCCTATCTTTGTCTCTTTCTCTGCTTGTTGATTTCCCAATCTCTAATACTGTGAGTATACTCACTACTTGTATAAAACACGGGGCTGTTCCCACAGGTATTCCACATGGCTTGAGCAAAACAAACAAATGTCAAAAGCCATTGCTTCCTTTTTATTAAAATACCTTTTTCTTTCACATGTGAAGTCCTATCACCCCAACACAGCCGCAATTTTAGCTTGCCTTGGGGAGCAGTACAGTGTCTGAAATCTGGCTGTATTGGCACTTTCCACACGTCCTAGACAAGGTCAAAAGCTCATTACAGCAATCAACTTTAAACAAATAATCAATTTTGTCAACATCAGCTGTATTTCTCCTTTCAGCGTACCCTTCTCGCCTCTCAAATAAAAAGGTTTTATGCTGCTCCTGGTCTCTGATGTTACTCTTTCTTCCCTCTACCTCCCCTCTATGTAAATATCAAAAAATGCAAAATAATTTGAACTAAATCTCTGCTGGGGTATGGCAACTTCTAAAAATAATCTGCTGTGACATCAGAAGAGGAGGTGTTATTTTTCAACAGAGATTAACTGGAGTGGATATGCACAGCTATTCAGGTGAACTGATCTTCCTCTGTTTTACTAGTGATTAATTCACAGTAAGATAGGGTGCTGGCTTCTGAATGGGTCTATTTATATTTTTTTAAAGAAGTGGCAGGCATCATAGATTCTATGCACTTTATATTAAACCTATAAGAAACTCTCAGAGTCTCACTCTACTATTTAAAAAACAAAAGATCAAATGTGCAAAAATGGGCTGTCATCTCTGTCTTGTTAATAAATCATTCCATAGTTTGGAAACACTGACTGAACCACTGAACAGCCTTTCCTTGAGAATAAACAACCACCATCACACTTTTAAACTATTATTGGTCTAGATACAAATATCAAAATGAGGCAGATGTTTACAAGAGCCGTTAGTCAAACTGTTTACAGCCTTAATAATGTGTATTGTTACCTTTCTTTTCTATTTCACAAATAAGGCCAAAACTCTTCAAAAACCACTGTGATTTTTAAAAGAAAAGAAAAGAACTTACCTTTTGTGGAGTAAACAATCCTTCAGAAATTTTTCAGTCCATTTTTCAGTGTAGTAGTGAAAGCAGTGAAATGCATAGCTAGCTGGGATAAAGAGTTCCAGTTCTGTGAATCCTGATCCTTAAAGAAAACAAGAAACCAGGAAAGAGAGAATTTTTCAATTGGAGCAGCACTTGCAACTCTCTTTGATTAACTTCCCAACTTCGGTTTTGCAAACTGAAAAACAGTTCTGTCTGGCATCATCCCGGCAGCTGGGTTCCATGTGACGTCAGTACATGGAGGATGGTTTTAAAGCCACTTCTTCCAGCCCCCAGCTCTGTAACTTTATATCTCCTCATATTTTGTGTAAACAACTTCAAGTCCAGGACATTTTTAGGTTTTATAGTGCAGCTAGTATTTAAAGCTTGCCAGAGCAACCAATGTTAATGTTAAAGCTATGACAATGGACAATTTTAGATTTCTTTTATTAGTTAAAGGCAACTCTGTGTTTTAAAGAAGGATTCTTTTCTACATTCCACGCCCAATTTTGAGGGATACATTTTAAGTTCTTTAGGAGCTTTGAAGCTAAACCACATTTGTTTAAACAGGCAACTTTTCATGATCCACAGCTCCTCTAAAATACCCACTCTTCCCCCATACTAAAATCTTTACTTTTTGCATTCAATTACATTATCACTTCTGAAATAAGACATTACTAGTCATTGTGTAATCTTATTTTATTTGTATTCTAGGAATGTTGACAATGGCTTGTTCAGAAAATACACAAACATTTTTTCTACTGCATAAGGATATTAGGCCAGATTCCCTGGTCCATTAAGTCCACTTTTGGACTACTTAGAAGCACAGAAACTGGCCAGAAATAGCCAGCAGAGAATCTCCATGCACAGGGGAGCTCTTCACTGGCAGAAACCTGGCAGAGATGGTGGAGATGTCTCCTGTTACAACTGCACCCCTCAACCCTGGCACAAGGGGATGGAGGAGACATCCAAGATTGGCTTGGGGCAAAGAGAGGGTGTGACTAAGTTGAGTTCTGCTACAAAAAATCCTCCTCAGCTACAACATCAGTGAAGGACCTTATGCCAATACAATAAGTTTGAGCTGCTACCCTGCAATGCTTCGGCTGGAGCTGGACAGGCTGGAGGCTCGAGCGAGACAGCAGAGAATCAAGCAGCTACAACCAATGAACAACCACTGTGCCCCTGCTCTCCTGGGTCTCAGTGGAGCAGGGTAGAGTGTCTAGCCCACTGTGACAAATCCTTTCATTTGCATATCTAATTGGATAGTATTGTTGCACTGCATTGTAGGTTATAAATTCCATGCTCACGTGGTATTGGTCTGTGCTGGATATACTGTGGACCTACATCACCTCAGAGGGAACTCTGGCAGCCATCTGCCCCAAGGAGCACCCAGGTGTGCGGTGGGGTGGGCATGCATACAACTTTGCCATCAGCAAAAGCATCAGGGGAATGGAGGCATGTCTCTTTCCTGCCCCTATTTCCCTCTTTAGCCAGTAGTAGTTCTGGAGCTTAGTTGTGCTGAGAGACTGCAACTGAGATTGGCCCCTGCTTGAGGCTGGGGGCTAAGACTCCTTGTGCCCTCACCCATTTGCACACCTGCATGACTCATATTGTGGATGGCCAATCTCCAGCTGTATGCAGTAGCTTCTGTCTGTGCTGAACAGAAGACTGATGGGCATCTGCTATCAGGCATGTGAATGCAATTCCCATTCCCTTGATTGGAAACAATGTTCATGCCCTCAAGAGTAGAATTTGATCATCTTATAGACAATAGGAGTTGCTTGTGGGATCAAGAACATAGTCTGCCGTAGGTGCTGCTGTGAGGAGCCAGGAGCACTTTGCCTACTCAGCACTTTCCCTCTTTGGAATGACAAGATGCGCCTATGTTAAAACACATGTACAGTAGAAGGGTTTCAGCTCAGGGTGCATTTTACAGTAAACACCAAAGTAGGTTGCAGGGAAAATACATTTTTTCTCCTTATATGGTCAGAAAGTAAGTCCCAGTGAAGACATTATTTGGGTGCTTATTCTGCCCCTGTGAAAGATATGCAATGGGACTCGGACTGTTTATACAAGTTTCAAAAGCCATTTAAAAAAAGAACAAAGATGTCTGAATATGACAGACAGTCCCTGAGGAAAATCCTCAGCCCATTCATTTAGAAATCCTTCTTTTTTAAAACCTCAGAGCTACTTTCTGCCCTCAGTTACACTCAAGCAACCCAACTGTTCTCAATGGGAGCTGTGCCTATGTAAAGCAGGGCAGAACTGAGCCCCTAACCCAGGATTATGGATCAGACCCTCCTCTCACAACACTGCAGCTTCAATGGGGTCAACAAGGTTGCACCCGGGTAAGTGAGGGCAGAATACTATCTTATGAATTTTTACTCCTATCGTTCCTTAATATAGACTGTAATTCCAATGTATTTAATTACATTTTACTGAATTAGTGCCTGTCATCATCCAAGTGCTGTGAAACAAAATATTAAAACACAGACTCAGCCAAATCCTGAACTCAGTTTTTACTGAAATTAACTTGAGATTTGCCTCAGTCAGAGTGAGGATTGACTAAAAACAGTGCAAAGGCTTCAGGGGTAGTCCTGTGAATAATATGATGCTACTCAGTAGGAGGCCAGACCCAAGGCCCACTGAAGTCAGTAGGAATCTTTCAGATTACTTCAACAGGCACTGGATCATAACCAGGCCTTGTAAGCACCACAGAAAGAGGTGTATAAGGATTGTAGCTGCTTTGGATTCAGTTAAGAGTGTTAGAAGATTCGAATTAAAATTTATGGAATTGTGAAGGAGCTGAGTTTGTAGCCCACCTCTGCACTGACCATATGCAGCTCCCCTTGAAGTCAAGAGAGGTATTTGCCTGAGTGAGGGCAGAATTTGAGCCCTACATTTTATTTTTAAAGTACGGTTCTACTTGAAAATGACTGTTTTAAAATGGCATCTTGTTATTCAATAGACAAGATCCCTGTGTGACTGGCACCTGCTGGCAGAGTCTACCCGGCTCTTACATGGGCATGCTGTGATTAGGAGGGCACAAGAAGTCTTATCCCATCTGCAACCTGTTTAAAGGCCAGGCAAAATTGCAGCACTTGTGCTGAGGGAGTGCAGGGACTCCTCAATTCCCATTCTCCTGGGGGCATACAACATGCCCCTGGGGGGAAAGCAGAGACAGCACCTTGGCCTTCCCCCCAACCAGCCTGCAAAGCAGAATGGGGACACCCAGCTAGCAGACTGCACCCAAGAAAAGGATGTAATAGCAGGCATGTTCCCATTACAAGCTGGAGAGCTCAGAGAAGTTTTCTGCTAAGTGCCTCCTCAAACTCTCACTGAGGCAATGCAGTTCCGCACTAGGGTTGCCAATTTTGGTTGGAAGTATTCCTGGAGATTTAAACACATGATGATCTTAATCTTTAATTCCTGGAGGGTTGGCAACCCTACTCCGCACTGTCCCCTATTCTGGACATGATCTAGCCCTTAGTGACAAGAAAAGATTTACTACTGTAAGCACCAGAGTCAACATGGCTACAAAGGAGATTCCTGTATTCTATTACTTTTTATACATCAGCAGTCTTGGTAACTAAATTCCATCTGCAAAAGGGGTTTCGTGGAAAATACAAACACTGTTCAACCCCTCTGGTTTCACTGACACCACTGTGAGGGAGGGAAATATCATCCACAATTTACAGTTGGGGGAACAGAGTCACAGCTACATCATGCAACTTGCTCAAGGTCACATTCGAAATCTATGGCAGACATTTATAACTTGTTTACTCTCCTAAATTACAGCATAGTTTACCAATAAGCACTGCATATCTAATGGCAGAACCTGGTTTTGCATATTGTTTCCCCATCACTAAAAGAAAATAACAGTGTCAGAAATTTAAGTCAGTAGGTGTTAGGTGCCTACCTGACATTTCTGCCTTTGAAAATCACCCTCCTATCCCATTATATTCTGGGCTGATAAGAAGAAATGATGTATTATATTCAAAGGCTCTGCTTGTTTGTGTAAACAACCCTTGAAGTTCATGTGCAGTTCATATTTTTTTATAATGCACATTTAGACAGTTATGGTTTTGTCAATTTTTTATTATTCAACTGCTGGGTATATTTTTGCTTCATATGGGCACCTGCTCTCTTCCAGTTCTGATTCTAAAGCACTGGTGACAGATGTCAGCAGACCCTTGTCTTATTATATCTGTAATCTGGAGCTTCAGGCAACCATATTTTCAGATGAAAGAAATATCTTTGTCCCTGAACAAGATCTTTCAAACTACCATTTATTTTCATCTGTGCAAGTTACTTTACAGTAACAATTTAGAAAACATTTTAGAGGCATTTATTATTTAAAAGAATGTACATCTGGATCTTAAAAGGAAACAGTCTTGACTAAATTTCTCTGGTTGCATTCAAAGAGAAAATACATTCAGAATCTACCCAGGTAGGAAATCAGTGAAGGCCAGAGAATGACCTAAAATGTTCATTTTTTAATAGTGCTACCATAATGATGCACACATGGCAGTAATCTTTAGGGCTATCAAACGATTAAAAAAATAATCACAATTAACCACAAGATTAAAAAAAATAGTTGTGATTAATCACAGTTTTAATGGCGCTGTTAATAATAGAATACCAATTTAAATTTATTATAAATATTTTTGGATGTTTTTCTACATTTTCAAATACATTGATTTCAATTACAACACAGAATACAAAGTGTACAGTGCTCACTTTATGCTATTATATTTTATTACAAATATCTGCGCTGTAAAAAAGATAAAAGAAATATTTTTCAATTCACCTCATGCAAGTACTGTAGTGCAATCTCTTTATCATGAAAGTGCAACGTACAAATGTAGAATTATTTTTAACATAAACACATTCAAAAACAAAACAATGTAAAACTTTACTGCCTACAAGTGCACTCAGTCCTACTTCTTGTTCAGCCAAAGAGGGGAACCAATAGGAGATTTCTAAAGATAGCTACAGCACTAGACCTAAGGTTTAAGTATCTGAAGTGCTTTCCAATGGCTGAGTGGGACCAGGTGTGGAATATGCTGTCAAAAGTCTTAAAAGAGCAACACTCTGACGCGG